CCCTGATGGGGGCTCCAGGGAGCGGGTCTCAGCCCCCGGGGCCGGAGGCGCCGCGACCCCGCCTCCGCCCCCCGCCGCCCCCTACCCCGCACCGGGAGTCGGGACGGGATGGAGGATTCGGTCCGTGCCTCCCTTCCCTCTGCCCCGCTTCACTTAGAGACACACGCGTCGGAAACTGTCTCACCACCAAATAGCAACCACTTTTCCCCATTTTTATGAACTCGCATTCTTGTAGAAAACTTGGGAACTACCTCAAAGGACCCAAAGAAAACGAAAACCGCCCACGATCCCAGTCCCCACTGGGTTTCAAAGACCTCCATCCAGCTCAAGCAATACTTGCAGATACATTCGGCCTCAAAGGGAGCTTTTTAATTTTTTGAAGGTACTTGGGCCTTGGCATCTCCCTGGGGAAAAGGCGTGGGACATGGAGAACATTGATGTATCTGCTCTTAACTGTAGTAATTGGGGAAAATGTGGAACTTCTGGAAGAAAGTTGACCGAGTAGCAGCCATGTATATGTTCGGGGTCTGTCACCTGTTACATTGTCCCCGTCTGGATTTTTTAAACTGCTGTATGTCAACAGTTTATTTTGAGTCCACATTTAGGTTTATTTAGGTTTATTTTGAGTCCACATTTCCCTTAAGGAAAGTTCTGGTCAGTAACCACTGTTGTCATTTACGTTCCCGGTGGTGGGAGCTTTGCTGTGACCGCACAGCTGTTTTAATTCATATATGGTGACTTGCGAGAAAGCACCTTGACTCTGACCTATGGATTGCTAAGGAAGGGGCCAAAACCTGCTTTCTGTGGTCTGTTTCATATACTCATTAGAGGTGAGGGAAGGATGGGTCTGAGGAAGGCGTTCTCCCTTTTAAGAATATCCCTGGAGGTCTGGCTTTGGCCAGGTTCTTAGAAAGTGGATTGTTTTGAGAATAAAGGACACTGTGAAGACATCAGAGGGACTCAGTCTTGTCATCTTAAGTCTCGGATGGTAGAGCTGGTGGTTCGGGGCTTTCTGGTAGTTGAATGGGACATTTATTCATTCATGCATTCATGCATGCATGCCTGCGTCCTATGAATATTTATTGCACTCCTACCGTATACAAGATACTCTTCTAGACCTTGAGATACATGTGGAAGAACACACGCAAACATCCCTGCCCTCAAAAGCTTACGTTTTGGTGGAGAAGACAAACAAAACAGTAAGCAATGGACGTAATAAATAAGAAAACCATATTATATTAGCAGGCTTTAAGTAATATGGAAAAAAAAGAAAGGGAAAGCAGGATAGGGGTTATCAGGAGTCAGAAGAAGGGATAAAAATTCAGCCATACTATCAACAATTACTGACTGCCTTAAACCTTTTTAAGAATAAAGTAGGTTGGGGCGCCTGGGTGGCTCAGTCGTTGAGCGTCTGCCTTCGGCTCAGGTCATGATCCCAGGATTCTGGGATCGAGCCCCGCATCGGGCTCCCTGCTCCGCAGGAAGCCTGCTTCTCCCTTTCCCACTCCCCCTGCTTGTGTTCCCTCTCTCGCTGTGTTTCTCTCTGTCAAATAAATAAATAAAATTAAAAAAAAAAAAAAAAGAAGAAAGTAGGTTGTGGATGCGCATGTAACTATGTTAATATCAATTTTAATATACAAAAAAAACACTAATAAGATAAATAAATACAAATAAAAATAGTTTACATTTTATTATATAAAAACATACTATATTGAAAGAGGTTTGCATTTGGCTACCCACCAATTTCTTTCAAGAGTGTATTATACTTTATTGGTTATTTGCACTCACAAGCACATTGTAGTTGTGTTGAATCTAATACTTTGCATCCCCATTTAGTTCAGCAATCTCTTATGGAACGGTTCTGGGTGCTGGAGTGGGACAAGGTGAGCAAGATAGTCTCTGACCTTCCTGAGCTTCTGGAAGGAAATGCTCAGACAAGTCTACAAGTTATTGTGATGCAAATTAGAATATGAGTGGTATAGACACAGCACCATGTGGTCAAAGGGACGGAGGGGCTTTCACACCCAGGTTAGCATAGGACTAGGCATTTGGAGGACCAGTAGAATTTTGACAAACAAATATGGTGGTCACACCTCTCTTGCAGAGAGAGCAGCAAAATTTAGACGTAGCAAAGTTATGGGTTTGTTCTGTGCCTCACAGAACCCTGTGGTATAGTTGGGGGAGATTCCATTATGCCCAGTGTTTGGATAAGAAAACTGAGGCTCCTCAAATTTATGTAATTTGCTGAAGGCGATAATCCATCAGCCGTCCTTCTATGTGACTTCAGCTGCCCTCCAGAGTCTGGGAATCCTCTCGTCCATTCTCCCCGCCAAAATGCTCATCCCTTTTCCCATATTGAGTTTGGCTGGGTCCCTCTCACCAGCTCACTGGTTCACATTCCCATCCTTCACACCCTGGAAGGGTCTGAGGGCCCCTGTTGGCTTTTCTTCTGCTTGGGGGTAAATATGTCTCCAGAACTTGTTGAGATAAAGATGAAAATAATGGGCAGTTGCGTCCAGGAAAAATATGCTTGCAGAATTCTCGACTCCATAAGATCATATTCACCAAAATTAGGCTAGTCCATAATTGGTTTTACCCGAATTCTGCTTCCTAAAGCAAGTAAAGCCTAATGAGCATTTCAGGACTGGCTGCTCTGGAAATGCTTAAGGAATGCTGTTAAGATGACAGGAACCTTATGCCTGTTTACCAAGATAAGTAAACCGAGGCCCAGGGGAGCCCTGTGTTTTATCTAGGCCCGAGCCAGGCCTGGAACTCAGATCTCCAAGCTCTGAATCCGACACCCCTCTTCCTCTCCCCTCCCAGCATCTAACCCGCTCCGCAGAAGTATGGATGGAGTCAGCCCACAAAAGCCTTGGTTGCTCAGTAAATGCTTGAGAAAGAAGGAAAGGTAGCAGGCCTAGGAAATCTGTTCTAAAAGCCCCCAGGCCGTTATCAGTGCTGACAGGCTACATAGCCGAAACATGTGGGAGAAATGCAAAAGGGGGTGATGAGTGCCAGCACCGCGTGACATCACTCCCTGCCCCCTTCTCTTCTGGGTGCAGCTGGGGGCCTTCCAGAATCCCAGGGTGCTGGAGACCCAGTTGGTATGCATTCGCAGCTGTGAGCTTTGGAGAAAAAAGAAAATTGTACTAACCTTGATTGGGGGCAGTATCTGTTCTGCACGAGGAGTCTCAGGCTCACGCCAAAGAAGACACTTCTAGAAGCCCCCTCTTTCTAGGCCCACTAAGGCCAGTTTGAGAATATTCAGCATGGGCTGGGCATAAAACTGTTTGTGTTTAGAGTTGGACCTCCCCGCTTCCCGCTGCTTCTGCCTCTCCCAGCCCCCCTTATCACTGTGCAAGCTACAAAAAGTTGTGGCCCTCCCCAGTAGGGGAGGGGGTCTTCTGATGGCATCTTTGGGTCCCAAGCCAGTCCTCATTTGGGTAGACCTGGTTTTACCTGATATCAATGGCCAGGTCCTCAGTTCCTTTGACCTTAAATATAGAATCTGTCTCCTCTCTGCTAAGTCCTGAGAACTCCTTTTTCTGTACTAATAAAATGTGAGTTCATGGCTACAAGATTACATTTTAGATGTATTTGTGATAAAAGACATGACCTTGGGCAGGTCAGCTCAACTCTATGGAGCCCAGTTTCCTGAAGTTAAGATTGCTGGCTTTGTTGCTCTTCAAATCCCTGTGAGTCCAGTGGTCTGAAACCCTGGCCAGTGGGCAGTGCGTTGGCATTATAATGGAAGTGAACTTGGAGAATGGGACATAAACCCCCAGCTGACATGCAGATGAGTTTGTTTACACCTTGCTGACTATTAAGAGGGCATTGCCAAACTCATTTTGAGACTCATTACAGAGAACACCACATGACCCAGCAGGCAGGCCTTGGGGGCACAGAGTGCATTTCGCAAAAGCAATACAATAAATTAAGTGTAAAGTAAGAAAAAGACTTTTTTCTCTAAAAATTCAGAGTTGTTACTTGAAAGGCAGTTAATGAACTTGACTTTTCGGGTCTGGCGGAAGGCTCCGACAGGCTCCGCATCATTTTAGGCGACAGCGTGAGTTAGGTGGGAGGCAGCTGGGCTTATAGTGAAGGCTTGAGAACTTCTCTCTGCATCTCCTCTTCAGATTACACCAGGGACGTATAAGACCAAAAAAGAAAATCTAAAAAACAAATGAGATTCGAAAATTATTTTATGAAATCATTTCTCTTATCAAATTCTTCCTGGCACCTTGCAGCATGAAAGATTGGTCAGTTTCCTTTTTTTTTTTTTAAGATTTTTATTTATTTATTTGACAGAGAGAGAGCGCACAAGCAGGGGGAGCAGCAGAGGGAGAGGGAGAAAGAGCCCGATGTGGGACTCGATCCCAGGAGGACCCTGGGATCATGACCTGAGCTGAAGGCAGATGCTTAACTGACTGAGCCACCCAGGCGCCCCAGATTGATCAGTTTCCTAAGGTTCCGTAGCCCAGTGGGTCTCAAGCTTGACTACAAATCAGGATCACCTAGGAAGCTTTATGCCAGAAAGGACCCCAGAGCAAGGACATCACAATCTTTGGAGGGGGGATCCGACCATCAGTATTTTTTTAAAGCTCTCCAGGTGATTCCGATAGGTCACCAAGTGGGGGGTCCCTGGACCAGAAGCATCAGCAGCACCTGTGAATTTGTTGGAAATGCAAATCTCAGGCCCCACACCAGCCATTCTAGATCAGAAACTCTGGGAGTGGAGCCCAGCACTCTGCATTTTTAGAAGGTGATTCTAAAGCATGCCAGGGGTGCCTGGGTGGCACAGTCCGATAAGCAACCGACTCTTGGTTTCAGCTCAGGTCCTGATCTTAGAGTTGTGAGATCGAGCCCCGAGTTGGGCTCTGCACTCAGCTCAGAGTCCGCTTAAGACTCTCTCTCCCTCTCCCTCTCCCTCTGCCCCTTCCCCCTGCCAAATAAATAAATTAAAAAAAAAAAAAGAAAGAAAGAAATTTAAAGCATGCCAAAATTTGAGCACCACTACCTTAAAGCAAGGCGGAGGATGGTTGGCCTGGCAGGTTTTTTAAAGCAAATGTTTCTGGTTGCTTCCTCTGGCCATAGTAAAGTCCGTCTAGTTTGAAGTAACAGGTCTTCTTCATGATCCCGCCCAAGTGAATTAGTTGCAGAAGTTACTCTTAAGTTAACTTGCTGTGTGGAGCTATTAGCTCTAAACCAATTAACCTCTGGAGGTTGCCTACCATAATTCTATTTTTTTTTAAGATTTTTATTTATTTATTTGAAAGAGAGCACAAGCAGGGGAGTGGCAGAGAGAGAGGGAGAAGCAGACGCCTTGCTGAGCAGGGAGCCCGACATGGGGCTCAATCCCAGGATCCTGAGATCATGACCTGAGCCAAAGGCAGACTAACTGACTGAGCCACCCAGGCACCCCGGTTGTCTACCATAATTCTAGTCTCCTGTGGTCATGGAGCGACAAGAATGCTCTAACAGTGATTGGTAGCAGGATTCCTTGCTTGTGGTCATTCTGCATTTTTAGAAAAAAATTATATTATCTGCTCAAGGGCTCTGTATTTTCTGGGGCAAGTTTCTATGCATTCATAAGTGGTTTGAAGTCATTTAAAAAGAAAATGTCAGGCATCGTGTTTGGAAAGCTCAGCTGCCCACAACCTCGTCTTGAGTGATTTCCAGCGGACTAGCCGCTCTGGGTCTAAGCTTCAAAGACAAAAAAAAAAAAAAAATGTTACCAAACAATTAGAATGGGGCAAAATGCTGGTTTTGGAGAAGAATCAGTACCTGGGAGTCTCTTGAGCCTGTGTAGCTCAACCTGTTCTAACAGATCTTAGGGCACAGACTCAAAAGCCCCAGAGATGTCAGGAAAACCCGTTAAACACATTTGTTTCTTATGCATGAGCAGCTTCTCCACAAGGTAAAGGGAGCCACAGTGGTCAGCCATGGAAGAGCCAGACCTAAAACCCCAAACCTCCAAATCCCTGGGCCGGGCTGCTTTTCTTTTTCCTTTCTTTCTTTCTTTTTTTAAGAGTTTGTTTATTCATTGAGAGAGAGAGCAGAGAGCGTGTGTGCATAAGCAGAGGGAGGGGGAGAGAGAGAACACAGGGCTCGATCCCACGACCCTGAGATCATGACCCGGCGCCAAAACCAAGAGTCAGACGCTTAATTGACTGAGCCCCCAAGCTGATATTTCTTAATGAGCTGGGAAAACCAATCCACTCACGCTCGGGACCCTAAGTGCGCACCACTACGTGTCATATGTTATGTCGACCCCTCTACACGCTGGGTCAGTGTGGTCCAACAGCTGCAGATATCAGTGATGTTTCTCCCTGTTCCCAAAGGGTAGAGGACTGAACAAGCCTAAGGAACCCGACCAGAGTCATGTAGCCAGAAAGCAGCAGGGCCAGAATCCAAACCTGGAGTGGAGGTGTAATTCCCGACCGATCGCTTTCTCCTTCTCCACTCCTGTTCCCTGAGCCTGTGGCTCTCAGAGGGAGACAGTGGGGGCCTCTGGTAATTGGGTACTCGGGTTATGAAGAATCAGGTATTACACCGTCAGGAGGTATTAAGAAGTTCATGGACAGCTCCTGAGCTGCTGTGTGCCAGGCGCCAGGCTAGGGAAGCTGCGGGGGGACAGGGTGGGGGACAGGGATGATGACCGTGGTGAAGTCAACGGGGAGCACAGCGGCCTTCATGGGCATGCGTGCTGGTGCTAAGCCAGCCCAGCATCAGAGAAGCTGAACTGGATTAAAAAGCATGAGGAGGTACCACTTCCTGGTTCCGTGGGCCAAGAAGGAGGGCCTGCCTCTGCTGGAGATGTGGAAAGAGGTGGTGATGTGTACAGGGCTTGGCAAGCATGGGGTCTGGGCAAGCGACAACAGTAGAGCAAGAGAGGGAGGCAGGCAGCCCTTGCATCTAGGCCCACGTCCATGCTGAAGACACGGTGTTTCACCCCGAAGGTAGGGAGGAACCTGGGAGGGCCTCTGAGCTGGGGACTGACCTATTGGGATTTGCAGTGGGGGCCGCAGGTTTTGTGGTGGGTGGGTGCACGGCCCCTCCGCTCACTGAGGCATGGAGCAGGAGGGGTGGGGGCTGAGGTGGAGGGGCCTGGGGATGGCCAAAGGTACATGAATCCTTGGCAGGTCATGGGGCACCCAGCTCTGGTGCTCAGAAGGGTACCTGGGGTCATGGCCATGTGGGTGAACCTGAAGGGACAGGTGCAGCCACACAGGGAGAGGGCAGAGTGACAAGAAAGGAGGGCCAACGAAGGAATTCTGGGGTGCACTAACATCCCCGGAATGGGTGGAGGGAGAGGGGCCTAGGGCAGGTGCCAAGCATCTTGCTCAGGGCTGCGTTCAGAAGTTTCAAAATTAAGCCCATTCTAAGAAGTAGCTCTAGATTGACATTTGTCCTAGCAAGACAGTGTGTGATGTCACAGCCCCCACCCTAGCTGGGAGAGGCTGAGCACCCCCCCCCCATGTACATTGGAATTTCTCTTGCCACAGGGTTTCTGGCCAGAAACTATGGTCCCAAACCGTCACCCTTAGTTTCAACGGCCACCCCAGGGTGCCTCGAGTGAATGTTACACACAACTGAGAAATGAGTGAGGCCCTTGGAGTCTGGTCAGCCCTCGGTAGCCCCTTGTGGGTCGAGTTTCAAGGGTGGCCTCATCCGTTTGGCTCTGGATACTTTGTCTCCCAGCAGGACCTGGGGGGGGGTAGAAGCCAGCATTTTCTCAAAGATACGAATGAAACCTGTTGAGCTTATCAGTGACCATGAGGTGGGGTGCCAGGACTCATGAACCCTCTGACAGAATTCCAGAGTTTCCTGGAAACGGCTCTCACAGTTCCCAGGCCTGTTCTCTGAGTTTTCAGGGACAGTGTCATCCAGAGTGAAACGGCCCATGCCAGCCACTCAGCAGAGGACAGGGGGCAGGGAGGGGACAAACACAGTACAAGCTGGAACACTGGTTCCTTCGAGGCCAAAGGCCATAAAGCCACAGTGGATAGAGGAAAAGGAAAGAGAGGCAGACACGTAACCCAGCACCACTTATGCTTGGGCCGCGATGACAAAATCCCACAGCCTGGGGCTTACACAACAGACGTCTATTTTTTCACAGTTTGGGAGCTGTAGGTCCAAGATCAAGGTTCTGGAAGGTTTGGTTCCTGGAGAGAGCTCTCTTCCTGGCTTGCAGGTGTTGCCTTCTCATAGTGTCCTTGCGTAGGAGAGAGAGATTTCTCTCTCTTATTATAAGGCCATGGTCTTAGCAGGTTAGGGCCCCACCCTACAGCCTCCTGTAACCTTAATTACCCCCTGAAGCCCCTATCTCCAGGTGCAGTCCCATTGGGGGTTAGGGCTTCCAGATGTGAACTGGGGGGCAAAATTCAGCCCATAGCACATAAACTAAAACACACACACACACACAACCCAGGGTGTATATTAGAGGAACTCATTGTGGGGGTCACCTACGGAGGTAGGCGGTGGGAGTGGTGAGTGGAAATAAGAGGGAATCGGGGCACCTGGATGGCTCAGTGGGTTGGGCGTCTGCCTTCGGCTCAGGTCATGAGCTCAGGGTCCTGGGATCGAGCCTCGCATCGGGCTCCCTGCTCAGCGGGGAGCCTGCTTCTCCCTCTGCTTCTGCGGCTCCCCCTGTTTGTGCTCTCTCTGAAAACTAAAGAAATAAAATCTTAAAAAAAAAAAGAAAGAAAGAAAGAAGAGGGAATCAATTGATTTACTGATCAATGAAGAGAGGCGCCGTGTGGATTCAAGGTGGCACATGCCAGGGACGCGGGTGTATGTCCGTCTGGGTGCCCCTCTCCCCCGAGATTTCACAAAACGGGCGAGCGTGTGCCTCTGTGTGGGTCTGGGCCAGGACACACTTTCTGATTTCAGATCGCACTTCTCTTTCAGATAGTTTTCTCGGCCAGTTCGTACTCCAGCGGTGGAAACTTGAAGCCCGGGATGCTTCTGTCCAACACGACGGCGCCGACGCCCTTTCTGACCGTGCTGTGGCAGGGGACGGTCACGCAGGGCGGCAACATGTCCGGCCTGGCCCGCAGGTCGCCCCGCAGTGATGATGGCCAGCTGGCAGCGCTCTACATCCTCATGGTGCTCGGCTTCTTCGGCTTCTTCACCCTGGGCATCATGCTGAGTTACATCCGCTCCAAGAAGCTGGAGCACTCCCACGACCCATTCAACGTGTACATCGAGTCTGACTCCTGGCAGGAGAAGGACAAGGCGTACTTTCAGGCCCGGGTTCTGGAGACCTATAGGGCGGGTTACGTCATCGAAAACCAGTTGGCGGTGGAACGACCCCACACACACCTTCCGAGATAAAACCTTTGTGTCATGACCCCACAGTTGGTTAAAACTGGGCCAATCCTACCTGGCGATCTGATTTTTCCCATCATGTGTCTTTTGTATTCTTTATGATTTGGGATGTCATTGGGGTTTTTTGCAATCGTAAGGGGTGAGGGGTGGCTTCATAACCCTGTCTCTCTACAATCACATTCCTTCTCTGATGACTGCCAGACGTTCTTACAAGGAATCTGATGATTCCTTCTCTCAGTATCTGTGCCTGCCTTGTTGATTTTGGCAGCTCTGTTTCCCAGACTCCCTTGCAGCTGGCAAGGTCATGTAGAAGTGGGAGCGATTCTTGAGAAGGAAAGGGTGGGTCCTCCATTTCCCTTTGTCCCCACTTCCCAGTGGCTGGGACAGGGATGCGGTAGCGAGCCAGCCTTGACTCTGGAAAAGGACAGCATCCTCACAGAAGGCAGAACATCCAGAGTCTAGGCAATGTCATGGGACAGGGTCTCTCTGCCTTCCTGCTCACCCACCAGCTCAGGCATTGTGGGGAAGAAACTAACTCTGATCTTCCTTGGGCCCCTGATATTTTGGTTCCTGTCAAAATAACAGAGTCACTATCCTAACTAATATCTTATTTTATGGGACTGAGACCAGAGGCATACTATCCCCATATTTGTCACAAGCATGCCCCCTGTCCTTGTTGCTATTGCCCTCGCTATGGGGGCTCCGGCCTCCTCTTCCTCCCTGCCTCCTGCCTCTCCCCTACATCCACCCTTCACACACACCCCCTGCAAACACACCCACACTCACACCCACAGATACACACGTGCACACACAGAGAAACACACACAGACACTTCCTACTCACACATGTCAATCTCAAAATAACTCATTTCCTACAGGACTGAGATGCCAGAGAAAAAGTTTCTACTTCAGAACATGTACCAAGGGGAGGGTGGGGTGCACCCCCCACCTCAGAACCCAGGAGAAGGAGTGGGTCTGGGTAAGTGGCAACACATGGGATCAAGGGGACAGGGCCTCTCGAGGCGATGTGCCCATCGTGGTTGAATTGTGTCCCCCCAGAAGACATGTTCAAGTCCTAACCTTGGTACCTGTGAATGTGACCGTACCTGGAAAGAGGGTCTTTGTAGATGTCATCAGGTGAAGATGAGGTCACTGGGATGGGTCCACATCCAATATGACTGGTGTTCTTCTAAGACGTGGGAAATCAGGTCATGGACACATGGGGAGAACCCTCGTGAAGACAGGGAGAGACTGGAGTGACCCATTTGTGAGCCAAGGTTGACCGAGGACTGACGGCCACACCAGACCGGGAGAGGCACGGAGGGGCTCTCCCCTACAGGCTTCACAGGAACCTGGCCCTACCACACCATGATTTCAGACTTCTGGACTCCAGAACTGTGAGACGAGGAGTTTGTAATGTTTTATTTGGGTCCTATTAAGTCAGCCACAGGAAACTCGGGCAGTGTCCCCCTTCCCCCCCGCCCCCGAGACAGCAGCTTTCCCCTCCACTCTCCTCCTCACTGGACAGAAGATTCTCTGGGAACCTTCCCTCACAGATGGGAGAGGGGAAGGGATTAGGGTGGAGCTGTGTGGTGCTGGGACCGTTGCTCAGGGTGGTAGAAGAAAACCCCCTTAGCGTTCCCTGACCTTCGAGAGTCCCAGAGAACATGCACCCTGGTTTCAGCATGCTTCTCCACGGGCTGCATTAGCGCTCTGGGACATCCTGCTTGCTTGCCCATTCCTGACAAGGGTGGAATATTTAAGTAAAACATTAATTGTTGGAAACCTGCATGTAGTATAAATGAAAAGCAACACATAAGCATCGTTGGCCGTCCTCAGTGCACGAATGGGGCCCAGCTGACCGCAGCCCTTGCTTCGTGGGCTAGCCGGTGGTGCCTGTAGGCGAGCTTGGAGGCAGGGGTTAGGGCACCTCTGGCATGGATGACTATGTCCCCACGATGAGTGCTTCTTTGGGTCAGAATCCTTTGAAAATCTAATGAAAGCTATGATTCCTTGTACCTGAAAAATGCACATGGACACATTTTGCCCAGCATCTCAGGGGCTCATGGGCTGCTGGAAACCCTCTCACACCTGTTTGCCCCTCATGGACCCTGTGTGAGCTCTCTGCTTCCGACAGACACACATTGCCCATGGGGAAGGCAGGTGGGCCGGGAGCGCAGGTTTGGAGGGGCACCGGGAGCGCATGCGACCCGCGGATGTGAGTCGGGGTGGGCACAGCGGCTGGGACCCCAGGCCCAGCAGCTAGCTGGCGCTTACCCCCACTGGGATTCCTGGGACTTTAAAGGCCGAGGGAGGTCCCATGGTCTGTAGTCCTCCCAGTCCTCAAGAGACCAGGGATCCAGCACCCTCCTTGCTGCACCCCTCAAACCTTTTATAAGCCACACAATTTCAGATGCCTGTGACCACACGTTAAAATTTGTTTGAACATGCACGGAGCATTTGGGTGTGTCCGGATACTGTCCTGAGCTCTTTAGAAATGGAATCTCAGCATTTTGTATGCAATATTTTATGTGTTCCCTGGATAGGACAACATGCCTTGGAGGAGTTAAGTTCTTTTTAAAAATTAAAGTCATTCATCATGGTCTGTGGCGTGCATTTTCTTCAAATCATTAGGACACTTTTAGAAATGGAGGTGGGCTCTGGAGAGGCTCTGGTGTGGCAGGCCCAGGGGATCAGGAATAAGGAAATAAGATCGCCTCTGGGTAGTTAAACTCTGCCATCAACCCCCTGATGTCTACAGACAGAAAGCAGAGGGAGCAAAGAGCTGTCTGGGAATGCAGACGCAGTCTTAATGGACCTGCGGGGTTTTAAGGGAAGCTGGAAATATAGATATCTATTTGAAATCTCTTGATTTTGAAATGTTGGTACCTAATTCCATTTTTTTAAAAAAGTGCATAAGCCAAACGAAAAATGACCTTGAGCTGAATTCTACCCAGAGACCGCTGATTTACAAGCTTGGCTTCGAAGGGACAGAAGAGCTGCCCTCAGCTCCAGGTCACACTTGATAGAGAACAGCGCTGGGGAGGGGTATGGGCATCTGACAGGCCGGCTGCCTTGCCAGCGGATTCACTGGCAGCGCTCCCCACAGTGTGGTCCCCTGGCCACCGAACCCTGTGTCCCAGCCCCATGATGAGGCTCTGCCTCAGGCTGTCTCCATTCATCAGACTCTCGCATTCAGTCCCCTCACCCCGTCACCCCGCAAGAATACCTTACAACCCCAATTCTGCTTCTCAGACTCTTGGGACCAGTTGTGAGAGTCCACCCTGGAGAGGTGGACCCACTCTACATGCGGACAAATCAGGCTTCAGAGCCTCTTATGAGACTGAGGGCTGAGCGGGGACCGTGGTGAATTAGCCAGACGAGGAATGTCATTTCCACCTCTGCGTCTCCTGGAGCCACCCGGCCTGGCTGGGCAAGTAAGCTTTAGAACTTCTCCGGTATAGACAGCCTGTGTGCAATTCAGTGGACAGTGGTCCTTGAAGAGTTAGCTCCAAGTTTAACTACACCTCCCGGAGGTTCAAGGACACATCCAAGGTCATTGCTTAAAGGAGGGAGCCCGCAGGAGTGCTGCTTCCCTGACTTTGGACCCTGGCCCTCTGCCCTCCTGCAGCTGCTTTAACAGGCCAAGGGCTCCTAGAAGCCTTGAGGTGGGAAAGGGAATCGCCCTTAGCCATCACAGGAGCAAAGACTTAGTGAACACTGCAGGAGAGGGTGGGGACAATGAATTTACTGATTTTATTCATTTGCACACACTAAGTCCACCTGAGCACTTTTTATAGGATATCATTTAATAACATCAGACAATTTACACTCAAAAAGGATCCCAATATCCCCAGAGATCTGTTTAGAAAGACATAAGGTAGTCCAGTGTATCAATGGGCCAAGCCATTAAACAAAAAATTGGTGTGGGGGGTGGGGCGCCTGGGTTGCTCAGTCAGTTAAGTATCTGCCTTGGGCTCAGTTCATGATCCCAGCGTCCTGGGATTGAGCTCCGCATCCGGCTTTGTGCTCAGCACTGAGTCTGCTTGTCCCTCTCCCTCTGCCCCTCTCCCCTCAGCTTGTGCTCTCTCATTCTCTCTCTCTCTCTCTTAAATAAATAAATAAAATCTTTTTT